CTCCTCCTCCACCTCCTCTTCCTCCTCCTCCTCCTTCTCCTCCCCCTCTTCCTCCTACACCTTCTCCTACATTTCCTTATGTTCCTCCTCCTCCTCCTTCCTTTCGTCGTCCTCCTCCTGCTCCTGCTCCTGCTCCTGCTTCTCCTCGTCCTCCTCCTCCTCCTCCTCCTCCTCCTCCTCCTCCTCCTCCTAATCGGGCGGCAGCAGGAGTCCGCTTGCCAGCACCCCCTGGCTGCTGCGCGGTGCGGGGAGGAGCGGATGTCCCAGCCAGTTGCCGCGCGGTGGGCCTCGATGCCCGAATCCTAGAATTCTCCTCCTGATCCTCCTCCTCCTCCTCCTCCTTCTCCTCCTCCTCCTCCTCCTCCTCCTCCTCTTCCTCCCCCCCTGCTCCGCAGCCTCGCTGGCTCGAGCTGCACCTGGCTCCAGCGGGAGAAAGACCCGAGGCCGACGCCCCTTGGACAGGCGCGACACAGGAGACCACTCCGCCAAACAATGCCGAACGCGGAGAAGCTCGCGAAGAAGGCGCAGTACTTTGACAAGTTGGTCGACCTCTGCATTAACAGCAAGAATGGTGCCCTGCTCGTCGGGGTGGACCACGTGCGCTCGAAGCAGATGCAGGAGATCAGGATCGAGCTCCGGGGCAAGGCCGTAGTGCTGATGGGCAAGAACACCATGATCCGCAAGGCGCTCTTGCTCGGCGCAGAGAAGCACCCAGGCTGCGGTCTCGACCAGCTGAGGACGGGCATCAACGGTAACATGGGCTTCATCTTCGCCACGAACTGCCAGCTGGACGACATCCGCGAGACGCTGAAGAAGTTCCGGCTGCCTGCGGCGGCGAAGGCGGGGCAGCTTGCCCAGGTCGACCTCTCGCTGCCCGCCGGCCCCACGGGCATGGACCCGTCGCAGACGGCCTTCTTCCAGGCCCTCAACATCGGCACCAAGATCGTGAAGGGGCAGATCGAGCTGGTCGCCGAGACGCCGGTGCTGAAGGCAGGCGAGAAGGTGTCCCCCGGAGGCGCGGTGCTCCTCGGCAAGCTCGGGGTGAAGCCTTTCGAGTACGGCATGGAGGTGCTCGGAGGAGGGCAGCTGTACAGACCTACCTCGCTTCTCCCCCTCCCCTCTTCCTGGAAGAGCGGACAACAATCACAGGAGGAGGAGGAGGGGGGAGCGAGGAGGGAGCAGGTGGACCTTGGCAGTCAATTGTTCGTTCCTCAGGTGCAGCAGGTGTTCCAGGACGGCTCCACCTTCTCGGCGGCGGTGCTCGACGTGAAGCCGGAGCAGCTCGTGGGCAAGTTCCTGGCCGGCCTCAACAACATGGCCGCGTTCAGTCGCGAGATCGGCATCCCGACCGAGGCCGGCCTGCCCCACGCGTTCGGGAACGCCTTCAGGAACGCCTGTGCGCTGTGTGCCGAGATCGACTTCACCTTCAAGGATCTCCGGGGAGGGCCCGTCGAGACCACCGCAGCTGGGCCCTCCGGGGAGGCCCCCCGTCGCCCGGGCTGGACGCCGCTCGGGAAGCTGGTGCGTTGGGGCCCTGGGAGGGGCCTGGGGATCGAGCCGGAGGTGCCATTGTCCCAGGCCGCCCTGCTCCGAGTCTCGGGGGTGCTGCCCCAGAAGTGCGCCCAGCCCGCCCAGGAGCACAAGCAGCGTCCACCCCGGAACTTAATAATCCAGAGCCGTGCCGCAACTCCCAAACGGACACGACGACGAAGCGAGACACGACGACGGACGACGACGACCGTGCTCAGGAAAGGGGCGACGACCGTGCCCAGGAAAGGGGCGACGACCAGTGCCAGATCACGACCAAACGAAGCGAGACACGACGACCGTGCCCAGGAAAGGGGCGACGGACACGACGACGAAGCGAGACACGAAGGACGACAACGAACGACCACGAACCTCCCAGAGGGAAGTGCCGCCCTCCGCCCGTTCCTTATCGGGTGCCCCCCACGGATTTCCAGGGAGCCTCCCGTTGCCTCCAGAAAGCACCCCTCGCGAGGACCAGAGGGGCCCAGGGTGCTCCAGAGGCGAGCGAGGAGGCGGGGGGGCACCGTGGGCCAGGGGCACCTCGTTCGGCACCCCCCCAGGATCGGAGGGCGTCAGCCACCCCCCTCCTCCTCCTCCTCCTCCTCCTCCTCCTCCTCCTCCTTCCTCCTCCTCCTCCTCCTCCTCCTCCTCCTCCCCCCTCATCCCTCCCTCCTCCTCCTCCTCCTCTCCTCCTCCTCCTCCTCCTCCTCCTCCTCCTCCTCTTCCGCACACCTGCGCTTGTCCTGGCCAGGTCGCTCCTGGGCCCAGGATCCGTGCACGTGCGGCCTCCTGGCCGAGCGAGGAGGGCGCGTGCTGGCGCATGCAGCCAAGGCGCTGAAACAAGGACCGCTTTGGGTTCGGAAGGGGCTCGGGGATTTGGGTCGTTTCTGAGATTTGTGTCGCGGGATTTGCTCGTGGCCTAGGCCCACCGTGGCCAGAAGAGCCCCTTGGTTCCTCCTTTGGCGCTCCTTCCGGTAGTGCCTCGACTGTACTTCCGGGCGGGGCGCTGTCGGGCGGTCAGCAGCGCAGGGGCACCCCACGTGGGGGAATCGAGGACCTGCAGGACAGGGAGCCCCGAAGGGGCCCCCACGAGGGGCCCCACAAGTGGCCCTCGAGGGCTCCCAGAGGGGAGCCCCTGGCGCCCCGCCCGCGAGGGGCCCATGCAAGGCCCAAGCGTGCCTCTTTCTGCACCCGACGTCGTATGGCCCCCGCCTTGCTGGCCGCCCGGCGCTGGCCTTAAGTCGGGCACGTCCCTCTACAGGAGGAATGCTCAAACATAGTACAAGAAATAGTCTGGAGATTTTTGTTTGCGTATCTTTTGAACATGTTGGCCTCTTGTTTTGACTACTGTTTATTTTTCGTCCAAAATCCCCCTGTAGGGGGACAGGCCCGACCCAACGCTGGTGGGGTCGGCGCGGGTGGACAGCCGGCGGCCCCGATCCCTTCAGGAGATGGAGCCTGTGAAGAAGTTCCTGGAGGACCCCGAGGCGTACGCGGCGGCGAACCCGGTGGCCGCAGCGCCGGCGGCGGGCGGCGGCGGGGGCGGCGAGCAGAAGGATCGGTTGCACGGAAGAGTTCGAGTGAGAGATCGACTGCATACCTGTCGGTCTTTGAAAGTAGGTATATCCCAATATTCTTTAGCCGCCTTCCTACTCTAAGGATCGAGTGGTTTTCCTTTTCCCTTCGTCTTCAGGGGGCGGGCGGAGACCAGATCTACTTCCAACGCCTTCCTGCTTCATGCTTACACCTACTTTTTCCGACCGACCCGCAACTACTGGATTTACCCCAGAACTGATGTGTTCCTCGAATCTGCTGGCCAATTACGTCGAATGGCCGTAGATATGTTGAAATTCTTGATATGTCTCGTAGATTCGACGAACAAGTCGACTTCTGTGGGCAAGTCAATTCTGTAGTCGATCTTCTTCTACCCGAGCGCATGAGGCAGGGGGAACGATCGGGGGGCATTGGCTCAGTGGGGGAATGCTTCGGCCCCCACTCGCACACTGATAGTCGGTCGGGATCTGGCAGCTCCACCCCGCCCAGGAGCGTTCGGAGCTGTTACCCGGGGCATCGCCGATCTATCGGCCATGTACCGCCGATTCCAGCTTCACGTTTCCCCTCCTGAGCCCGTCCCCAGTCATCGTTGCGCTTCAAGGGGTCCCAGACATGCGACGTCTTGTCCTTTCAATGCGGGCTCCCCGGAAGTACCGACCCTCTCCCCAGGTCCAGCTTTTCGTTCTGCGTCGTGGTTGATGACGGTCCTGGGGGTCGGCGAGGGCCCTCATAGGCCGGAAAAGGCCAAAAACCTTGCGTCGTGATTTTTCCATTGCCCGAGGATGTTTTGGGGTGTCTCTTCGCTGGAGTGGCCCTTTGTGCACGGCTTTCGGGGGGGACGGGTCAGCCGCTCGCAGAGGGGGTTGGGGGGAAGGGGGAGGGCTTCTTACAAGCACCCCCGCTTCTGAGAAGGTGCCGACCTTCTCTACAGATGTGAGGCCGGCGCCTTCCAAGAAGCAGCCTCCTCCTAAGAAGCCTTTCCCCCTCCCTCCACCCCTTGTGCGCGCCGCCAAGGGCCTGGCATCGCTCGGACGTGTGCGTTTTTTCCTCGGCGAGGATCATCGAGGAGCATCCTTGACCGTTTGCCGAAAAAACCACGCACGAAAACAAAAAAACACAGGGAATGAACGTCCGAGCGATGGCCAGAGGGGGGCGTGGGGGGGGGCGGCAGACCAAAGTACGCAGGCCACTCCGTGCCGCTGCGCGTGCAGCGGATCGGCAGGCCGCGCATCCGAGGCCACCTCCTTGCCCAGCCCAGGCCTCCGCCGTCGTGCCTCACAAACGTAGCTCCCCGAAGGCCTGGACCTTTGTGGGCCCCGGAAAGGGCAGGGCCGTTTTTTCACCGTTTCCCAAAAAGATGTCCCATCAAATTGGAAACGGCAAAAAAAAGGCGACAGGAAACTGCAAAAACCGGCTCCAGGATTGGAGCCAGAGCCGGAACTGGTCAAAAAACGGCGACGGAACCGGTAAAAAACGGCGTCGGAACCGGCAAGACAACGGCAAAACGGAACCGGTAACAAAACGGCCATGTCGTTTCCAGGGCCCACTAAGGCCTGGACCACTTCCCCGCGACCGCCTCTCATCCCTGGCCGTTTGTGGTGGTCCCACGGCCTTGCTCGAGTAGAGGATCGACCATGACTTTCATGTTCCACAAAACTGTTTTGTTATGTCGAGTCTAGGGAGGATCGTCCTACGGAGCACTCTACGTATTTTGTCTCAGGATTCGACGGGAAACTCAATCTGGGGGTATGTGAATTCTGTAGTCGATCCCCTACTCGATGTGTCAGCTCCCCTAGAAGCCGAAGCGTGCCAACAAAATCGCCCACCGCTTTCTTGCTTGCTGGACAACGCCAGGAGGTCTGGGAGGGTCGCTATTGAGTTGAGTGCAGCCCAAAGGAGGAGAAGAAGGTGGCCGCCGTGGAGGAAGAGGAGGAGGAGGACGTGGACTTCGACCTCTTCGGCTGAGCGCGCGCCCTGCGGCGACTGCGGGGGGGAGAGAGCGGCCCATCCGTCCGGAGGCGGCGAACCGGCTCGTCGGCGAAGGGAGCACCCCCCCTCCTCCCTCCTCCTCTCCTCCTCTCCTCCTCTCCCTCCTCTCCTCCTCTCCTCCTCTCCTCCTCTCCTCCTCTCCTCCTCCCCTCCTCTCCTCCCCTCCTCCTCTCCTCCTCTCCTCCTCTCCTCCTCTCCTCCTCTCCTTCTCTCCTCTCCTCGCCTGTCCCCCCCCCGCCATCCAACGGGTCCTGAGGGCAACGGGTCATCAGATTTGCCGCCGCTTTCGAGTTCCTGGGGCTCTCCACGGGCTCCGGGAGCTGGTTGGTCCGGGCTCCGCTTCTCGGAGAGGGACGCAAGCTTTCGGACGTCTGCGCGGACCTTTTTGAGAATTTGTGCTCATTTGGTGGTGCTTGTGGTCACCCTGGGGGCCCGCTCCCATCATGCTAGCCTCTTCCCCCTGCCCTTCTTCGGGAGCCCACCGCAAGCTCAAGCTTCAAGCCCCCCCGCTTCTTTTTCGCTCTCCTCCTCTTTCCCGCCCTCCTGCTGCTCCTCCTCCTCCCCTTTTCATCCCCCCTTCCCTCTCCCTCTCTGCGACCTCACCCAATCTCTTCCTTCCCCCCCTGCATATTCGGCTCCTCCCTCTCCTGCACATCGCCCTTCTCCTCCTCCTCCTCCTCCTCCTCCTCCTCCTGTCCTCCTCCTCCTCCTCCTCCTCCTCCTCCTCCTCCTCCTCCTCCTCCTTCTGTAGCCATGTCGTCTGCAGGCCAGGACGGTGCCCGCTCCGCTGCCTCAGCAGGGTCGGCTCCCGGGCGAGCCTCCGATCTTCCAGTTTTCATATCCAAGGCCTGCGCGCCCGCAGGCGCTCCATGTTGCAAATCCCGATCGCGCGCCTCGGCCTCGGCATGCATCCGTGCCATCCCCATGTGCCGCCTCCCTGCGGCCCTTTTGCGGTACATCAGGGCGGTGCCGACATCAGACAATTGCGTGTGCGCAGCACCGTTCCTTCATTCGGTCCTCACGCACATCTGGATGCGGACTGGAGTCGATAATTGGCAGCTGACATCGGCGTGACAGCTTCATGAAGACAGTATGGAAACAGAGAGGAGTGGTTCGAGTTTCAGTGACAACGCTAGAATACGTCCTTCGCGTTCACGCGCCAGGCGCAGGGAAGAGACACATCAATCAAAACACCGCAGTGGTGAAAGTAGACGCGCACGGCGAGATAGGCATCATGACCGACGAGACCGTGAACGCGAAGAACGAAGACATCACTCATAAGAACGGGACCGATATCGCGATCGAGGGGGAGGGCGACGACCAGAACGAAAACATCAACGAGTTGGACTTTCGGCTGGTCGCTCAGACCCGCTATCTCAACATGACCCCTAGCGAGCGGGAGTGCCAGACACTCCGGGTGGACGCGCTGGCGCTAGTGGTGAGCCTGTTTGACATCCGTCCCCGAAGCGCTTGGAGTCATCACCGACGGCTCGAAACAGTTTGGCTGCGCAGCTGGTTGCCTTCGAGGCACTTCCTACCTCACAAGGCTCCGCAAAAAAGGGTGTGCTGTTCCGAATGTGTCTCATGGGTTCGTGGACGGAACTGCAACACCCCCTGTAGGTGTTGGCCCGCTTTCTGCAGACCTCCCAAGGTTTGAGCGCCGCTCGCGGCGATTGTCCAGGTGCAGGTCCAGGCGGCGACGGCTCAGCTCACTAGCGCTGCCAGCTCTCTCAGCATGCAGCAGCAGGCCTTCACTGCCCAGATTCAGGAGCTCCCCCCACGTTGTCAGCAGAATGCAGCTCACCTCGAGCAACACGGCCGAAGTACTCATGAACTACAAGATCGTTCAAGGCGAGCGGCTGATGACTGAAAGGAAATACGGCATCAGTTCAGGGCGACGCGATAGGAAGCACACTCGCGATGGCAAAATCAAACGTATCGCTTGATGTCCAAGGACTGGCAGAAGTGGAGCGAGCACCAGGCCCAACCATCTTCAGAATTGGAACACAGCGAGCAGTCGAACCGCAGGCAGTATCGATCGCGCTGGAAGAACGGATTGGGGCAACTGGGATGTTTCACGGGTATATTGATTTGCATGGCGATGGTCTTCCAAGCGGGCTTCACATGCAGGTACTTGGTTGACCAGCGGCGACTGCTCGGGCAATGGCTCTCACCAAGGCTCCTCGAACCTCTGCTGGTTGCAGGACATTCCATGGAATCGATCCCGCATGTACTCGGGCCCCCTGTGCGTCAATGCCGACAAGAGCCCCAAGCACGTGCGCCTGGAGCACCAAACGACGCGACTTACGAAGATCATCCAAGAGAAGCATTTTGCATACCATGTTGGTGCACAGCGAACAAAAAACGCCATCGCCGTCGACAGAGTACCCGTGGTTGTGGTCGAAGTGCAAGAAGAAGAAGAAGAGCCTCGTCTTCGCGAGGTGAGCCCCGAATGGGTTTGAAATCGCCGCTGCTGGCTGCGTTAAGTCAGGCATTCGCGAGTGTGGATACATCTTAGCAGAAGGTGGTCGCCCTGGACATCGCCGGCGAAACGCAAGAGTGGTACGATTGCGGGCCGAGCGCACGCAGTCTCCATTGCTGCATACCTCGCAAGAGGAGGGCCAATTTGAGCAAGCATGCTTCATACATGCGTCCTGGGGCATTCATTTTGATATATGGCTGCCGTGGCAGTCAGGATATGCTCGAGAGTGCGGTTCCAACGCGCAGCTCCCCCTGCAAGGTCTTCTTCAACCCTCTCGCGCAGAGCTGGTGGGCTTGCCTTCCTGGCGTCGCGAGATCTAAAAGCTGGCGAAACCACTAGCATTACATCTCAACGTGGAAATATCAGGCCTGGCAGAGTGCTCGCGTTGGAATGATAAGGGCTATTCGTCGCTCGCCATCATGGACGCGCATAATTCATGAACCGACTGCGCCCGCCAGCCGAAGAGCACGAAAGAAAGAAAGAAAAACAGAAAAAAGAGAGGAGAGAGAGAGAGAGAGAGAGAGAGAGAGAGAGAGAGAGAGAGAGAGAGAGAGAGAGAGAGAGAGAGAGAGAGAGAGAGAGAGAGAGAAAGAGAGAGAGAGAGAGAGAGAGAGAAAAGGCACTGACAAGGCACTGGTGAGCTGGAGTCATGGCGACTTCTCCCATCATTCAATTCTAGCAACTGGAGATTTGCATGCTCGATCTGGGCCTGCTGGATCCCTCCGCGGAGGAGTTCGCGGTCAAACTTGTCGCGGACGTTCGTGGCCATTTTCTGCAGCGGTTCTGGGAGAAGCACTTCGCCGCCGCGATTGAGATCACCGCCGATTCCTCCGCTGACTACTGCAGGGATATTCCCACCGCGGCAGTTCGGGACGTTGCTTTCACTGGGCTTCCCGCGCACTATTTTCCCAACGTTGATTTCCTGGCGGCGGTCGACGCTGATGCGGCTGCGATTTCAGGCCGGGGGTTCAATGGCCGCGCGCCGATCACCGTCGAGCTCAGAGCCCTCGCTCGGCCTGGACCGCAGACTCACACTTCCAGAGCTGATTGCGCGCGATTGTCGGTCTATCAGTCAACTCGTGGCTTCTGATTTCCATCGGTTCCATCCTGTCGACCAATGGAAATGCACGAGATGCCCGATGATAGAGGCGGCCCAACAGGCGCGCGATAAATTGCGACGGCTACCCATCTCAGCCAGTGACCCCAGTGAAGGGCGGCAGGATCGGCACCATGAGCGCTGTCCCAAGGTGCACCTGGCGAGAAGACACCATCGCGGCGGAGATGCTCATCGCCGCTCACGACGCCAGGCGCTCCCTGATCTTCAGCGAAGGCAGCGCCCAGCCCCAGGAAAGGGGGGCCTTCGCCAGCGCCCTGCGCGCCCTGCGCAGTGAGTTCCGGCAGCGCGAGGCTGGGGCCGTGGAAAGCAGGGCTTCCGAATCGGGGGCAGTGTGTGGCAGCTGATAGCGAGAGGCGCGTTGCTCATGCTCGCAAGCGCCGAGCCTTCGTCTGGCGCTCCAGAGCTAGTTGTCTCGTTCTGGCTGGGATTCGTCCTGAAGACCTTCGTGGGGGGCCCTGCCGTGGCCATGGAACCAGGGCTACTGCTGCTGCCCTCGATGCCCGCTGGAAGCCGATTGAGGGAGCTAAGACGGTCGATGACCAGACCCTGAGTGACTTACTTGATCGGGTTCCCCCGCAGCATGACCCCCTTCGTCCTGGGCCTCCTGCGGGGGCTGATCTTCCGAGAGCACCTAAGACATGCGAGAAATTCTGACTCTGGCCCTGATGCATCCAGAAAAAGGCGCATACTTTCGCCGTTCCAGGTGCTTCTTATTTGCTGAGCATGCGGCGTCGCGGTTTGAGTTGAATGACAGCCTGTTCGCGTTCCTCCCCGCCGGTGGGGTTGCACCCGACTTCCCCCCGAACGCAGGCCCGTCTCGCTCAGAAACGCGGGCGCCGGCTCGTTGGCAAGCGGCGCTGCTTCCCAGCTTCGGCAGTCTTCGCAAGACAGCGCGCGCAAGGCGCAGCGAGGAGTCTTCCCAAATGGGAGCTTCCAGGCCGCCGTCGTCGGCCTCGTCGCGGCGGCCAGGTAGTCTATCATAATTCCAGATGTTGGGGGTGATCGCCCTGTTCTTGCCCCGTATGGCGTTGGGGCGGCTTTTCCGAGCTTGGGCCATCAGTTGCTCTTCGAGGTTATGGGCAGGCGTGCTTTTCCTCCTTGGCCCTTCAGATTTATTATGGCACTTTCTGTTTTTTTGCCGCGTGGTTTTGCTCGGATCCAGATACAAGTAGTCTTCCTTCTCGATCTGTGCTCGGGCGCGCTCCAGGGATGCCCATTCCCAGATTTTCCTTGGGCGCTTGCAGTGGGCCCGCTTCCCCCTCTTTTGCGCGGTGCCACTCGGCCCCCGCAGGCAAGGCGCCGCAATGGCTCTCTTGGGGGGGGGCGCGGGCGACGCGGGGGCGACGATGCCTCGCCTCATGGAGATAGCAGGCGTCCCGCATGTACTGCAGGATATTGAAGCGCATGCTCCTTTGGTGTTCCAGGCGCTGCAATGTGCTTAGGTTCATATTTGGGGGGGGTGCGC